TTTTCTCATGACACATATTTTATTCGAGGGACATGAGTTCAGTCTATCGTTGCTCCTTCCTTCCAAAGAATTTTAAAGCCACGCTATTAAACAATTCATTCCTTGTTTTCAATTCTTGTGCTTCATTCATCATGCGATTCTGGGACACCAGGGAATCTCCAGTTCTGAATAAATGATGACCGGAAACACGGCTTCTCTAGCAATATTTGCACTTGGATACATAAATCTTTTTATTGTTCTTTGCTGATCGTACACCTATTAGTGCATCCGCTATTCACGGTTGTTAGCAGTGAAAAAATCGAAAACAGAAAAGTCTCAAAATTTAGATGCCTTGGACGAAATATTCCGTTTTTTTTATGAAATTTGTCAAGTTTTGGCTCGCAAATTTTGACGGTAGAAAAAATTCCTATACTTCAACTAAAAATAAGGTTAATATTGATTCAGTACCCATTAATCAGCTTCGACACGGCAAAATGGCTTTTTGAGTTCATCGTTCTGTAAGCTCTAATAGGACTCAAAGAGTTTAAAAAATTGTTTAGAGAGCCGTAAATACTGCAGTCACATACAGTAGTGTGCGTTTAGTACGTTATGCGGTAGGTACATACTGGTTTAGAAATGTTAGAAAGTTTTCAAGAACAGCAGCTCATTTATGATTGTTCTTTGCGTCCTGAAACCTCGCACTTTGTAATTATGTTGAAACTATAACACTACATCTTATGGTCCGACATGATTAGATTCTTTCAAAAACATGAATGTATGAAAAACTGTTGCAGATGCTTGAGAAGACGACAGGATTCCTTCCCTCGACTATTTACTCCTTGACGGAGAGAGAACCTTAACGCTCATCTTCTGCATTCATTGTTTTGTTGTGTGACCAAGTGGTTGTTCTTGAGACTGAAAATTATGAATACAATTTAAAGTGTATAATGTAGTACACTTAGCGTAATTAGAAGTGCATTGCAATGCACATTGAATCTTTCGCTCCTTCTATTCGCCGCCTTAGCTCAGCGTGTCTCCCACGCTTCTGGGTCGACAGATAGGTGCCAGACTTGCCTGGGAGGAGCGCATCAGGGATTTCATTCATCCGTAAATCATTATGTGAATTATATATGCAGTCAGTCACTAGTAGCGATGCTTGACGAAGTCAAATGAATGAACAATGGACAACCCCTTAGCTTTGATCCTAACGTTTACAAAAACGTCCTTCGTTCACTTTCAATTCTTCAATGACAATTATAATCTATAAATAGCCTCCATGCTGTTTTAGTCTTAATGCAAAGACCACGGCAGTGAAAGATTATAAAATCGACAACCCCGTGGCTATTTTGAACGAGTTCAACCATTTGCTTGAAAGGCTTTGAACTCTTTTCACATTATTTTTATAAAATGTTTTTCACTTCTTAGAAAAAAAAGAGACTAAGAGATTTCCAGAAAATAGTCCACTACAAGCGACGTTCTGGCTTTTTGAAGTCGCCTTTCTCACCATGATAGTCCTGCTGAACTATTGAGAAGTCAGACGTTAATAGTTCAAAAAATACGAATACAATAAATAGCTGATAAGCTACAAATTGTGCCTGTTATTTGTTAATCGTCAGACGTGATTCACATATTGCCGTGGTTCGAGTCTGTTCTAGTACGCTGGCTTCGTATTCACTCAATACTATTCATGAATAAATCCTGTTTTCCGAGAAACTTAGAAAATTTTCAAAATTTTCACTCTCTGTGATATAGGAGTAACATAAAATCTGCGTGTTCCCTACAGTAACTCAATCACCTACCAAAAATCGTAACAAAAGTTATAAAATTTTGTAGACGTTTTGCAAGTTGCGAATCAATGCTTTTCTCTACCAACGTCTATATTCAATTGGCGGACAATCAATACGTGAATATTTGCTTTCAGGGATTCTCTAACGCCGGATCGTACGTCCTGCGAGTGTTTCAAAGGATTGCGACACTCAGTCTGTTCAAACCTGCCCTCATCTGCCTCGCAAGCCACTCGAGTATCGGGCCCATTTCTGAAAATTTTCAGCCCTGCTCCACTAATGAAGTTTCACTTTTTGTTCACTTTTGCACTAAAATTGAAGTGCCACAGGTAAAAAAAAATCTTGTCTACAAAATAAAGCTTCGTACCTGCCATGGGTCCTTGCTCCTTAAGATTTTCCAGTGGGACACAAAATTCGATCAGTTTGACAAATTGAATTATTTTGAGAAGCCTACTACCGATAGTCTTGCAGCAATCAAACCTCAATAAGCTCTTCATTGTTTTTGCCTTTTTGCCGTAATACATTTGGTTGTTTTTTGGTCTTAAGCGGGTTGCTAAGCTGTCGCAAAATTTTTATCTTCTGCCATACAATTATTTCGGAAGAGTTATCATGAGCAGAAGGGCTTGATGCCACTTTGACCTTTTCGAGACTGAACTCTTCGCACCACTGATGTTGTTCTTCACAACGAAAGGTACACAATTCCTTCCTCGCGGCTGTCCATTAAAGGGCGGCCGAGAACTACTGCCACTCTCAACAATACTTGTTTTCGCTTCCCTATTCGCATTTTCTCCCTTCTATGTGTACATACTAGGCTCACTAGTTTGTAAATTATAAGAAAAACCAATCAGCACTCTTAACTCCTTTTTCATACGGGGTTTATGTTTTTTTCTTCCTTTTAGTTCCCTCTTTTCTCTCGCTATTCCTGCCAGTCATTTTCATTCATTTTTTGGGCATGGTTCAGGCGTGACTAAATTGCGTAATGGGCTCCGTATTTACTTCTGTAACATAGCTATCAATGATTGAATACTGGAACAATATCGTTACTTTGTAGAGCAGGTGTGATTTTACGTAATTACAGGAATCAAACCAGTGGCTTTGCACACAGAACTGCAACCTCGTCACGATGATACGTGCGCACTTTTTTATTAGCTAGAATAAATAGGATTAGATTATAGAATCGAGTAAATACTGCTGTAATGTTTAATAAATCATATGATTGGCATCGCAGAAATCGGGACGAGGGAAACAGCACTCTACGAAATGCCGTCGCCACACCAACTAATTCACTTTGTGACACCAACTCTCAATTAACATCAACGTTGCTTATTAAGCTACTATTTCTTACTCAGTTGTGACGAGGAGGAACGTGTGGGTTATTCTGAAACTTTTTCGAGATGTTCTCTTTCGAGAAACATCTGCAGTTTTTTTTTCAACTGATAATTTTTGATTACTGCGATAGGATGGCTACTCAAGCTTCTGTGTCCAACCGTAGCTTCTGTGCCCTATGATGGATTCACACATGCTGACTTAATTCAGAATCCTGCGAGTTTGCTGAGGAAAAAAATGTCCCGAAACGCTGACAAATTGCAATTGACTCAGATCAACTTTGTTTTTGGCTTGGGACGAGTATATCCCTCATCCAAAGCGGACCGTTAGTTCACCTGATGGAAGCATAGTGATTTATCTCAGGACTTCAAAACTTCTCTTCTATCGTGACATTTTACTACTCCAGTCAGCATATAGAAACAGTGTATGGTTTTTTTTCGAACTTTGAGTGGTAACTTTTCCTTCTGCATACCATCAACCAAACAATGCTTTTGTCTGTTAGCTCTTAGGTTTTCACAGATCCTTGCTCGTTCCTTTCATTACGTTAAATTCGACAGGATTATAAAGCCAATGAACGATAAATTTTATAGCATTGCCACCGAATTCTACACCTATATTGACTTGCCGTTATATTCAATGGAATTTCCTTCATCTATCGATTCTGGCCATGTGGTGATTTAATTTTGAAAGCATCTGAAAGTCGAATCTCCCGTCTTTGCAATATATCCTTGAAAGATTTGTTACTGACTTGCTTTCTATTCATTTGACTGATTTCGTTGTCTATTATTAGTCGCTGCAATTTGAAGAGTGATTTATTGATTATGAATTCCACAGATCTATTTCATATCAGATATCTATTGCGTGAATCGATGCTATACACTTAGCTTTTTTCTTTTCTGAATTTTTACGTATAGTGAAGTAGTGCAGTGGTTGGAGGTACCCCGCAACGCTCACAAAGTCCTTGGTTTGTTCTCGTGCTTATGACTCACCAAGCCTCCAATTCCTCCGCAATCGCTACATTTCTATAAGACTTGGCTGGAATGATAGACAGCACTGACTAATTGAATCAGTAGGCCACTGCGAGTCAATGTAAAGGCCATATATGCATTCAGTTACCTTAAACGAAGTTAGAAATTGAAGATGAATGCATGGCGCACCCCACAGCAATTGATTTTATGCTTTATCCTTTTATCCTATCGTGCTTTTCTATCACTCATCAAAGCATGGGATCAGGAAAAAGTTCTTCATGGTCGCAGTGCATGGAGTCGCATAGAGAACTTGCTCTCGGAGATATGTGCCATCTTGAAAACGAACGAGCCTGCAAGTGTCATTAACACTCTCGAGCAAAGGCTACATTATGAATGGTCTTTCACTGGTTGGAGAAATCTCAGAAGAGCTCAAAGTTTGCAAACAAATGTTCCCTTTGTGGAACTCATTGAAAACAAGAAAAACTTTGGTAGGTTGTTGTTAATGGAGTTGAACAAGGCTCAGCGGGATTGTTATCTTTTTTTCTTTATGAAGTTATAGTAAACATTCACAATTTGTAAGCGATAACAGCCGAGGCAGACTTTCATTAAGTTTCTGATTTTAGTTCGTAACACCGAAAATCTTCTGCGCAGGCTAGTGACATGTGCAAAAAAAATCCGCCGTAATAAATGAAGTTAGATCGAGCTCTTGTTTCGGGCAACGATTTTCTGCTAAAGATTTGTTTATAACGAAGAAGAAGCAGTGACTTGCAGAGGCCGTTGTGGTGGACTTTGCCAAACTGAGAAAACTGGCGAGAAGTTTATGTGAAGTAAATTTCTTCCAAACAAAGATGTTTGAGTATTCGCAATTTCTAGTGACTGCATTTTTCGCAGTGTTATGATGTTTCTTACATACCTAAGAGAATTGAGTGATGGGCAAAAATACTACCTCAGGCGAAAATCGAATCCGCGTTTCATCCATACCGGGGACGTGTGCTACCACTACACCACTGAGGTACGTTCGCAACACCACTCATTCTTCAACATCCCTATCTATTTTTGCTCACCACTCGATTTTTTCAGATGTTCGAGTAATTGTCGACGGCTTCATCAAGGATGTAGTGTATGTCGTATAACCTCCTAAATCTTTAGGAACTTCAGTTATGACTGACTATGAAAATCACTAGAAATAAAATTGAGAATCAGTACAAAATGATATAGTTCAAGAATTCATAATCACTAGTTTCTTTCATGTTGGGTGTCTCAGATGTGGTTTGTTGCCTCGCGATTTTTCATTATAACCTCCTTTCGAATCCCGTCACGAGATTATCCGTTTCCCTCGCCATCGCGTCAAATGATTATTCCACGCGATGTCGAGATTTTCATTCGCGCATTGCTACGAAACTACATGCCATAGCCACTTCAACTCCTTAATAGAAGACGAAAATATCCGATTTATTCAAAATTCTTGAAAGGGTTTTACTATATACGATTTCCAGCCTAAGTTCTCAATTTTCAGTCTCCAGGCATGCACCTTCTTCTTTCTCACTGATCTTTAAACTTATATTACTTCAATTCTGCCCCTCTTGTCTTCTACTATACCCAAAAAACACAGATTTCGCATGTGTGGAGATTATGGACCCTTCCAGCCGTGACAATAGATAATACCGCTTTAGATGAGCAGCGCGGAACGAAAACGATCAGTGGAAAAATATAGTGTTTTGAGACGAGCGTGAAAAAGGGGAAGGTCCGCTCTTTTGTGCTGCTCAGATTCGATTCTTCTTTCATGTGAGCTTAGACAAGTGTGCATGGAATACATTTTAAAAGCTGCTGGCACTAGCCCTTGTGAAAAGTTATAATCCTATCAATTTTTTTTCGGATTTTTCTTTGTTTTTTTTTCAATTAAAAAACTACGAGAGCAAGCTTAAGTCTAGGCTTAGGCTAAGAAAATTGATGGAACCACAACTCTCCATCAGTGTCGGGGCACGTAGTCAAATTATTAGAAGTGGTTTTAAAATCAACTCTAGGAGGAAGAGGACTAACCATTGAAGCACCATAGTCTAGTCACGGCACATTATTAACGCTTTCACTCTTGTTATCAATTGTAGAAAAGAGGCGTTTCAGCACAAGTATGATACTTTTTATGCACTTGAAACAAGCAGAACCCACTAAGCAGCACTGGCGAAATGTTGAAAAGGAGTGCAGACTATACTGGTCTTCAGATGAGTTAATTCACTCAATGATGAATTTGTTGTAGTGCTTCATGCGACTTGTTATTTTTGATTGACACAAATAATTCTAATTTATGTAAGTGCCGATCTTACTTAATAAGCAGTAAAGATAACATTGAAGGATTAAATCTGAGAAAAATGGTTGTGTTGATTATGTGCTTAGTAAATTGAGTTTTAGGGCAAAGTGCTCAGTTGTTTTCACATTAATTCAGTGTATTAGGCTGTTTATATCTGTGAATGCAAAAGCTTTCAGTATAGTACTCCAATATTTCGATGTTTTCTTCAGTCGCTTATCCGCCTGCGTGCAGTGAAATAGTGGCAAGCACGAAGTTGTAAACTTCTTCTGAAAGACTATCAATGTTTCTTGGTGCAGTCTGGACATTTAGTGATTACACTAAAGCTTTTTCTTCGTGACCCAGCTTGGATCCTGGTGCGACATTCGCTTAATAAATCGTCACAAATGCCAGATGTGCTAGGGAAACGCGCCGTTCACAAGAGTTACAGTGATTTGGAAGAATATAAATCGCAATGAATAATGACATCGAATTATGGTAGCGAGCGGTGTTGTAGTAGTGATCCCGTACACCTATCTGCAACTCATTTAATTTACGTTAGTTTTGATCTCTCTCTGTTTTTGTCTAGTAATCATTTTTTTATTGATAATAGACGTTGACTCAAATGATTTTCGATTCACTGCCTTCAGAAGCTTAACGTAAATCAGATTTTACTCGCAAAACACGCCCTCTTTCCTACTGCTTTCGTTTTTCATTGTTATCAGTTCCACTTGGTCGCTACCGGAAGCTTCGCCATAAACAACATTAAATGCCTATAAGAGCGAACTAACAGCTAGTATTTGAGTGGCAATTAGAAAGCCACCTGAGTAATAAGTAAGACTGAAACACCAAATTACTTTACGAACAAGATGTCACCCTAAGAAGTAGAACAGCCGTGTGAGCAACTTGACAACGGCCTTCGGTCTCTTGATCAAAAATCACCAGCACTAACGTCAGACATGATGATTACTAGTAATTGTATCATCTGGAAATTTGGAGATGAATACATAATTGAATGAACAGAAAATGAGGCATGTTGTCATTTTTCAGGTCCATGCATGTTCTCATCGGTGGTCATTGACAGCTGTGCTGTTTAATGACGGCAAATCTTTGGACTCGATGAGTGACGCCCAAGAGCATATCTTGCAATTTATGCTCATCAATCATCTTTTGACAAAATGTGGAATGAAGTTCTGCACTTTTTCTCAATTTCAAATTTCCCATGAAGTGATCTTAATCATCAACTCCATGATTTGTGTCATTGTTCTCTGTCTAAAGAAAAATGTCGTTGTTAAAAGTTGTGCAAGCGGTAATAGGATATTTTTTTCAAGAGCTCGCTTTCCCTTCTAAGTCTTCGCTGACCTGCGTCGAACGCATTGCCACCACCATTTTCAATTATTTAACTCGTAAACTCGTTTCATTTTCATCTGGTTCTGTGGCCTTGATTTTCTCCTATACTTTATCCAAATGCAATTTAATCACTTTTCGTTTTTTACTTTCCTTTTTGCAACAAGTACCGTAAGAACCTTCTCTGGTCTATGAGTGATGCGAAAGAGATCTAGCTGAGCTCGATTAATCCAGTGATGACCTTGCGTACTGATTTTAGTACGCACAGACCCGCAATTACACCTTTTTAGAGCCATTTTTAAGCCCTTTAAGTCCTTTTTGAGTCACTATTCCGTCTTTTACCGGGAAACAGAAGCTAAATAAATACTGATTTCAATGCGGTGACCAGCCATACTGTAGGTGGATGATCGTCAACGGATTAGAAAATAAGATGATCATTGAATGTCGTACTAGAATTTCAGCTGCTTTCACGCTCCTAGAAGATGACTCGAGAGAACTACTTCCGACGACGTTACTCTTCGGATTCGACACGACATGTTCGTTGAATTAGTGCTTAATCCGATGATAGTCGAATCGTGTTTGCGCCTCGTTTGACGACGCCCATTCGTCCTCAGTAGTCTTTAGTGCCAAGTGCCTCCCTCCCACATTCCAATTTGAATTCTAGCTGCTGATGGTGGGCTAGTTGATCGTAATGACTTGTGAGTATGTGTGTGCTTGTGTAAAGGGCGAATTTTGGCATCTCTCACAGTAGGGTCTCGAAAAACACCTATTTATAGTCGGTTTATGTCAAAATTATGTTGATTTACACGCTGAAACTCGTTAGTTAAGTCTGCTTTCGTCTAGATACTGTGATCTCGTTCACTCAAATCCCTATTAGAATATTAGACCATCGAAGCCAAGCTGCATATTAATTTCACAGCGATTATGCAGAACATTAAGAACGATTCAATTGATGGAAAACCTGCTTAGTACCTCAAATAACTCGTGAAATTCCTAGAAAGTTGTAAACCTTACCATCCGACGTAATACGCGATAGAATTGGCAAGTACCGATTCAGTCAAAACGGACCTTGACAAGGAATGAGAAAATATAGGAGAAAAACTAAACCTCCACCTGATTTTACTGCGATCTGTAGATTTCGTTAGCCTTCTAACCTTTTCTATTTACACAATCGAATATGACTAGCCAAGAATCATCTAAAGTCCCTATTCGAGCAGGTAGTAGCTTACAGTTTTGCAGTGAATAAGACCGTAGACATTATTATTGACTGGTGCTACGTTTAGAATGTCCGTATCTGATGATCTCGGTCTCTTCCATCTCACCCATTATACATGCAGTTTTGCAGAATGTCGTTCGACTTCGACCTTACAGCACCGTTTCTTCCTGAGTTCAGTACCAGAGATCAAGCTGAACATCGGCATAAAATTAGGCCAGTTCAGGTGCGTTCAAACGCTTCAAACGGCAACATCCACTTCGATAGGAGCATATGTTTACCTAGGTAGTCGTAGCTTTTTAGCGCAACAATATTTGCGTACAGATCGCCTCGTCTCGTTGGGCAAATACGTTTTGATGTGAAACATATCACCTTAACAATGCTTCCTAAGTGCTAAATCTTCCAAAGAAACTCAAAGTCTTTCATTACTCGTGGTCTTCTTTGGCAGCTAAAATTCAGTGCACACAATCTTGTTGATATCTGGTAAGTGAACTCTGAAATAACTCGATCAATCAGGAAAGAGACACAAACGGCACTGAGGAAAATTCTGCTTTTTTTCACCCTCTTTACTTTCTTCAAAAATTTCTTTACTCGTCCCTAATATTATCAAGCCGAAACAATGCATGCTTTGACAAATTCCTATTTTATGATCATTTCAATGACCAATTACTTTATTTCATGATTGCAACATTAGTCAGCAAGAAAACATGTGCAGAAATGACTTCATGCAAGAATTATTCGAGGTATTATTTGCATATGTGGGCAGTAGAGAATCCTGGTATAGAGTCGGCTAGATCAGTTGAATACTTATTTTTTGTAAAGCTAGCCTTGTCAAAAATTTCTTTCAATTTATTCTCTAGTATAGGGTTGGAGTTTTATATTAGCACGTTGCAAATCAAAAAGAAAATTGTGGCGGAATAGTTCTGATCATGACAAAATCATGTCACTAGGTAGAAAAAGAATGCTAGTGAAGACTATTTATGATACTAATACTATATCAGCAATGGTAAGGGGTGCTCTGCGACGCACACATGATCGATCATTGATGGTTCGATCCCGCGTTGAATGCTCACCAAGTTTTATACTCCTCTGGGGTCGCTGGGTTGGTATAAAACTTGTCTGGGATGATACCAGCGCTGACTTACTACATCGGTAGGCCACCGCGAGTCATTG